TTTTCTGAGGCTTGTACGGGCGGTGGCGGCGGGAAGGGTGGCTGCAGATTTGGTTGCAGTGGACGAGATACCTGGAAGGGTCTGAGAGATGACAATGACTTCGTAGTAAGCAGGCACCTGCCTCTTGGCCAGGGACGCCGAAGCCACATCCAGTCATCATCGGACTTGGCACCTTCAACTTGAGAAATAATCCCAACATGAAGCACTTTTCGACAATCCTGCCGGCGGCACTCCACCGAAAAGCCAAGGGCCCACAGCAGCCGAAGGTGCCTTCAACATGACCAGATCAACTCTGCAAAGAATGCTTCAAACTCTGACAGTCCTGCCTGCATGAAACCGGAAGGAAGCCCAGCAGGAGGCACAACCGGGATGGGAGCGACCTTAATGAGTGTCATTGGGTTTGAATCAGTACAACGCTTACACAACCAACGTGGCCCCAACCGGCGGCGGTGGCCTGGAACTTGAACCCGGAGCAGAGGCCTCGGTGTCATCGGGCCGATGCATAGTCAATGCCAAGCTGAAAATCGGGTGAGGCCCCAACCGGTGCGGACATTCGCAGTCGGTGCAGGCTCTGTCTCGCAGCCACGAGCTCATTCTCGAGGTGCTCCTGCTCCTCCAAAAGGCCCTCATTGTTGAACCTTGAAGCCAAAAGCTGCTCGGTCAGCGCCTTGCCCTCCTCCAAAAGGCCCTCATTCGCAGCCACGAGCTCATTCTCGAGGTCCTCCTGCTCCTCCAAAAGGCCCTCATTATTGTTGAACCTTGAGGCCAAAAGCTGCTCGGTCAAGGCCTTGCCCTCCTCCAAAAGGCCCTCATTGTTGAACCTTGAGGCCAAAAGCTCCTCGGTCAAGGCCTTGCACTCCTTCTCTGCGTAGTAGTGCTTGCCCTTCCAGCTCTTTCTTCGAAGCTCCGAGGAAGTGAGCTCTGACTCTCTGGTTCTGAGCTCCGCCTCTGACTCGAGCCGCCGCTGCTCACTTTCTCGGAGCTCCGACGAAGTCTCCAGGAGGCGAGCCTCGCACTCCTCCGCCTCTCGGAGCGCTCGCAACTCTGAGCCCTTCATCGCCACCCACTCCGGCCGCCAGTCCTGCCTCCTCTGCTGGCTCCAGCCCCGGTTTTGGCGCTCCCAGAGCTCCTCCTCATCATCCTCCCAGTACAGGCCTTTCTTGCCTTTATTGTACCCAGGCCCATACCCACCATAGTAGCCGCCACGGCCTCCTTTACCATAGCCACCTTTCCCCATAGCTGCCTTCGGACTACTTTCGGCAAGGCCTTGCCCGTGTTTTCAGTGCTAGTAGTCGCTATTCTTAGTACTAGGCGTCGGTACTTTGTATTGCTGCCTTCGGACTACTTTCGGCAAGGCCTTGCCAGTGTTCTGAGTGCTAGTAGTTCCTATGCTTAGTAGTAGGTGTCGGTGCTTTGTGTTGCAGAGCAATTTCCACAAGCTGCACCTAATGACGTCACCTTATTGGTAGTTCTAAGAAAGCTACGAAGCTGTGCATCAACACTGGGATCTATTGGCTTATCAATTATCATCTATGAATTATGAATTGTTTGAGGGGTTGTGTTTGGCCGAAGCACGCACATTCCCGGCTGTGATGGTATTGAGGACTCTCATGACATGATAAGGCGAACGAAGCTTGAAACACAGGCCGTCGCATGATCAGTGTCAAATTAACTGGCAAACTTGAGCTACTAGAAGGACAACTGTGATGAATTCCACAAAGTCCGTGCTCTCAGGCCAGGACATCCCGAGGAGGTGCACACCGAAGCCGAAGCCTGAGTGACAGAAAGCTCTGGTTTTTGTCACGCTGGCATGCAGGAGGGCTGTTCACATACGGTAGCACTGGAGTGTTTTTTCTGTTCAGCCAGTGCCTACATATTATTGTGCAAGACTTTATTATATTCCTTACACAGTAACTTGTACTGTCTATATTCGCGACAGCAGCATGACTGGGTCTCCTTGGTCGTATGTCTCGCAAACCCAAATTTTCGAGACATGTGCCTGTGGTTTTCGAGACAAAGCTGCTAATGGCTCGACAACACATCCTTGACAGGCTACCTATCGTAGTGCCCCATGCCAGCCAAGACGAACAAACAGAAGAAGGCAGCCATCTATGCCAGGGTTAGCTCTACCTCTCAGAAAGACGGAGCGGGAATATCGCGTCAGAATGCGAGGTGCAAGGCTACATGCAAGTCGATTGGCGCCAAAGTGGCTTTGGAAGTATCCGAAGTTGTGTCCGGGTCCCTGCCACTGAAACAGCGCAAGATCTTCAACGAACTCATGGAGAAATGCAAGGACAAGGGTGTCTCCAAAATCATTGTCGAGGGAACCCGAGCATTTTCGCGCAATGCCCAAGTGTCCGAGACAATCTACGAGAGAAGCAAGGAATTGGGGCTCAACATCATCCCGGTGGATGTCCCAGACTTGTTGGAACACAACCCCAACCCTGCGCAAAAGTTCTTGCGGCGAGTCATGTTCTCCTACACGGAACTGGAGAAGGATATGGCAGTACAGCGGCTACAACATGGGTGGAACCGAAAGCTCACTGAGGCAAAGAAGAATCACAGAACAGGGCAGTGCAAAGCGCGCCTCAACCAATCCGGCAAGGTCAAGATCAATGGACGCAAAAGCATCGTGGAAACCAAGAGCCTCAGCGGCAAGCAACGAAGGCAACTCCTTGAACACACCAAACTCTACTTCAATGGCGACGTGACGGTCAGAGAGCTCGCAAAGCACTTCTCTAAAGCCATGAAGTTGACAAAGGCAGGGCCCAATGTTCTTTTTTCGGCCCCACGTCATGGTAAGATAGCTAACCCCTGTCAGGTCATGGCAGCAGAAACTGCTCGTCGCACAGCTCACTCTCTACAGAAGAAGTGAGCTTCGCTTGAATTGTTTCTCTCTGTGCTGTGTTTCCAGACTTGGCTAGGTCAACCTCATTAGAATTGTGATACTCGCACATGGAGAGAAGACCCAAGCGCACGGATAATTACGAATTTAGTTGCGGCCTGTGGCCCGGAGCATTGCTCTCAAGATTCTGCCAAGCATGGGCACAGGGATGGCGTTGCCAGCCAGGAGTCGCAAATGCCTCTCAGACACGACGTTCCTGGGGATTTCCTCCGGCAGAACACCCATGAAACGAATAATCTCGTTGGTGTTCATCATGCGATTTTTCCAACTGAGCCAGAAACCACCGGCACCAGCACGAGCGCGTGTCAAACAAGGGCACAAGTCCTTGCAAACCTTCGGTTTGCGAGACATGGCGCACGACACGTCTATGAAGTAGTGGCTATGTAGTGGATCGTCTCCACGTTCCATGACAATGTTCTCGATGGCAGCTTTCAGCTGGTGCCTTGCTCCTTTCTGTCGAGGCCAGACGATGCGGTCCTGCTCATCATCTGCATCCAGCAGGTCAGTGACGGTAAAGCCGGAGGCCTGGAAAAGGAAGCTTTTAGTTTCAGTCCTTACAATGCTTCGCACATTCGCACAAGCCCTTGGAATGAATGGAATTGGTCATCGAAAAACATAGCTTGCTGCCACGAAGCTGTTTTCTTGGGCCACTGCATAGCTTCTTGAAGATGCGAGCGCCGAATCCCGACAATGAACACCCGTTGACGACGATGTGGCAGACCATGGTCTGCACAGTTGACAATGGACCAAGATAGCTCATAAGAACTCAAATCCACCAGTGTTTTCATGATGTCATAGAAACAGTCGCGATGTCTGTGGACCAAAGCCGGAACGTTCTCCAACACAAACATCTCCGGAAGGTGGCTGGCAATCCATTGGAGGATTCTGCTCACAATTCTCCCATCCCAACAAGAAGTGCCTGGTCCTGCGGCATCCTTGCTGAAGGGCTGGCAAGGAAACCCAGCAACGAACAACTGAACGGTTGGACTTGCCATGAAATCGTCAGACCACACGTTGCCGTAGGTCTTCTGAGAGGCTCCGTGGGCAGACTGATGAACGGTACGTGCGTGAGAACATGTGTCGCAGCTGAAAACTGAAGTGAACTCGATATTCATGTGTTTCAAAGCGAACAGCTCACTTCCCCAACCCGAGCAGCAACTTCCGACCAAAAGTCCAGAACATCTCGGAGCAAGTGTGCGCCCCACAGACAGGCAGCCAGGATGCTGCGACAACGACAATGTCGTCGCGTCTGTCTGCTCCTTTGCTTTGGACATCCTACGGAACTTGCCTTTGTGCTTCTGTGGCTGCTCCGTTGCTTCTCTTTTTCTGCGCCTTTGCGCTGAAAGCAATTTGCCTATTTCAGAGGCAGCCGCCTTGCACGCCATGACCAGCAGTCGACGGAGTCCGGTCTGACGGCACACTTCAGAATTGCCCCTGAAGGAAAGGGCTGCGCACAGTGCTGGGATAATTGTAACAGTCAAGTCTGGCCACAACTATAATGAATCAGCAGCCCACTCAGGTCACACACTCACTCGATGCACATTTCACAAGCTTGCACGACGCATTGCAGGACGTCTGCAACCAGTCCCCTGTGCGATGGACGAGAACCATGAGAACTAAGACTATTGAATAGTCTGCAAAAGGACGTGAGCGACTGACATGACTGATGAACCAGTACGGAATATCACGACCAACACCCCCTCTTAATTGGAGAAGCTAGGTTTTGACACTCACAGCCGGACTGAGGGTCTATAGAATACCAAAACCGATGATATGCCCGCCGCTCACGTATGTTCGAGGCCTGCTGTGAAACTAGTCTGCAACAGGACCTATGCTTTCAAGCATCAAAAGAACCCGGCCACCAGAAGCTTCACCCAGCGGCTCCCATCAGCTTCTCCAGCAGCTTGGCCTTGGCCTCATCGGACCCCGTGGAGGAGTTGCCTGCTTTGCGGCCTGACTGCTTCGGTGCCGCCTTGACTTTCGGGTCGGGCTTATTCGGATCTGGCAGATTCTTCTCAACACTCTCCGTCTCATCTGGGTCACCCATATCATCATCTCCATCTTTCTTGGCGGTCTTGGATGCTCGTGCTTTTTTTGGTGCTGCTGCTTTCGGGAGCCCCGGGGGAGGAACCTTGCGCTTGGAGTTCTTGAGGTTCAGCAGCTTGCACCTGAGTGGCATGGGAAGGACATGGTCTTCACTCTAAGTGTTCTTGCTTAAGCACCCGCCAGCAAACAAGACAATGCACTTTGAAGCAATGCAGTCCCAAGCACAAAGCCGGCTGGTGATGCGGGCTTGTCTCATCTAAGAACATCCCCCACAAGCACTTCATGATCTTGGTCTTCAATGCCTGGCGGTGCTCCTCTGTCCAGCAGGAAACCACGATCGGCACCCGCATTTCTAGACACACGCAGGGCAGCAGGTGATCCAAGCACGTGGCGGCTATGACAACCTGGGCTTCCATTGCATGCAGAATCTCTTCCCACACCTGCTTTCCTGTGAAATGCCACGACATGGGCTCGAGTCCGTCTTCAAATTTCGGTTTCGGGAGTGGGTCCGCAGCAGCTCCTCCGGTGAGGATCTTACCGTTGGTGCCGAGCATCTTGCGCTTGCTGACGGGATCCACTCTCCAGCACTCGCCGTCAAGGAAACTTGGTGCCTTAAAGTACCCCAAGAGTGTGCCGTGAGTCGTGGCATCCGGCAGATAGAGCCTGGGCTTGTTTTCAATCTCCAAGGGCCCACCAGTGCACATCACGTGGAGGTTCTCGCTTTGATTCACAAATCCCTTCACTCTCTCTTTTCTGTCCCCTAAGGACTTCTGCGTCGTCAGAACGATGAACTTCTGGCTTTCTTTTGAAAAGAGTTTGCCCTCCAAGTCCAAGAAAGCGCTCTGGATCTGCCCTTCGTTGCCGAACTTGCCTCCATCCAACACACAAACCTGGGCTGTTCTTGAACACCCGTGAACAATTCTGAAATCTAGCAACATGTTCAACTGCGGGGGCGAGATGCGAGGTGCTTGGGAGGAAGGGTGCCTCCGTGAGTCTTGCCCTCGTCGAAGGAACGGATCACCGCATGAACCCATTTCGTCAAGTCTTTCGGCTTGAACGGCGGCTGCCTCGTGTTCGGGTGGCTGGATGCTTCGCCAGCCGTTTTGCAATCGTAGATGAGCACCTTCTGCCCATCTTTCTGCTGGCTAGCCTGGACAATAGCCATTTCCTTCATGCTCTCTGCAAGCGTGGTGCTGGAGCTGTCATTCAAGATGAAGCTGACCCACTGTCCGAAAACCTCCTCTAAGTACTCCTGCCACTGACTCAACTGACCGTCCACGTCCAGCTTCTCTTGCTCCGGTGTCACTAACTCAGCCAGTGGCACAGTGAAGGACTTGTCCATAACCTGAGACTCGGCCTTCTCAATCTCATTCTTCTTGCCGGGTGCCTGCGGGCCAGATTCCTTCTGGAAGCAAGCCTGGAGCTCATCCAAGGCATCTTTCAGAGTCTGGACGGCCTGGATGACATCCTTGGGGTCCATCGTGTTCTTGATGGCTTGCTTGAGATACTGGTCCATGCTCTGTGAATAGACTGCATTCTTCACGAACTGAATCAGCAGCCTGGTGCTCCCGGCCTTGAGGCCCATCCACTGCGTGTCCACCTGCTTGACCAAGACTCAAAACAAATGCATATGACATCTGTTTAGTGCGCAAACAACGCACGATTGTATTTAGTTGGCTATGTCGCTATGTTCCATTCCCACCTTCATTCCGGCAGCACCACAGCACTTTCGGTAGGACTCCGGAGTAAGCAGCTGACTCAGCATTGCCCGTTGCTCTTCACCGAACCCGTGGCTCACAAGCCACGTGTTCAAGTACTCCAGCAGCATCTTCTTGAAGAGAAACAAGTGCACGACGCCCTTCCCGCCCTTCTTGTTACCGAGATTGCGACTGCTGAACTCAGCAGGAGTCATGCCGAGGAACTTCAAGCCGTGTGTTATCATGTCCAGAACCCAGAGAATGTCTTCTCTGGTCTTGGTGGAGCTGATAATTGCTTCCAGCGAGTAGATGCTGTTGAGAGGGTTTGATTTGCCATACTCCCCTTCCATCCACAACACAACATTTCGCACGTCTTTATCAGACAGGATGCTGTTCTGAATCTTCACGGCATTTTGAATCCATGTGGCGGAGATCTCTTCTGCATACTTACTGGAGATTTCGATGGCATGTGCATTCCAAGCTGTGCAAAGTTCTTCTGCCGTCATCGAGTGCCCCAGACCCTTCTCCTTCCGAAGCTTAAACTCCATGATCTCTTGGATTGACTGGATGCAGCTGCGCACAACCGCCTCGTTCTCCACAATCACAGCTCGGCGGAGGTTCACCGCCTTGAAGTACTGATCGTCGCACGTGGGCAGCGGCATGAACTCCATGTCGACGGTCAGCAGCGTCTTGCGCCACTTCTTCAACTCCTCGTCCGATGCGCCTTCGTCGATCCTTTTGGCGATTGCCATGAGCAAGGCTGCCTCCTGCTCTTCGGGTGACACTCGCTTCAAAGCACCGAACTGCTTCCCCAGGGCAGCCGCGGTGAACTTCGAGCTTGGCAAAGCAACCACGATCCTGCGAAACAGATCAACAAACCTTTTCAGCTTAGTCAGGATTTGTGTATTTAAACATTCAGTCGTGATCAACGATGAATGATCAACCCACGCCCCATATTAATTATCGACTACCTGCCTCCATGGGAAGGGTGCTGGACCCCTGCTGAAGTGGAACTTCCATACCTCTTCCACGGCCTTCATGTTCGTAAAGACATGGCTGCAGGGGCGCCATTTGAAGTTGATCCAGAACAAGTTGCCAGCAGCTGAGTACGTGCCACATGCCTTCATTGCACGGTCGAAGTCACCAGCCTCGAAGCAAGCCTGGGCCACCAGAATACTGGGAAGGTTTAGGGGGGAAAGCTCGGCATGCCATTCCTGGATTTCGCTCATCATTCCCAGGCCTTCCCAGCCATTTCGGAGGGCGACTGTCCTAC